GTCTAGAGAGGCTATCCCCGTAGGTCTTCTTACAGAATTCGGATGGCGTCTGAGCAGGCCTGTATTCTATCAACGGGGATCCTGTGTACAGTTCCCACATGACACAATACCAGCTGAACACATCGCTGGCCGTGGTGGAATTTAGGCACCAAAGCACTTCGGGGGCCATGTGCACTTGATTGCCCCGTCGCTGGTCTGGAGTCGAGTAGTTGCAGGCTGTGCCGAAGTCGCTGATCTTAAACGACAGCTCCACTGGTTTTCTATCGGGTTGATGGCACACGAGGATATTTCTGTACGTCAGGTCTCGGTGTTGAACATGTCTCGCGTGTAGGTACTGCAGTCCTCTCAATGTATCCAATTCCACAATGGGTATCAGCGCCAGGTACACTGCGCTGTCGGTGGAGGTGCTCGATTCAGGCGTCTTCAGTTTGTTCATCTTAGCCATGAATTCCTGTAAGGAGAATAGGGCTCTCTCCATCACGATCACGGCCCTGCCACCTAACGGATACTGCGGTATGTCGCACCAATATCCTCCAAAGGTACGTAGTATGTTTGGGTGCTTCATCGAAACGCCTATGGCGATTTCTTCCACTTGAGTGGCAATGTGCGCGTATCGGTAAAACTGATCCTCTATGAACGGCAGGCTCCAGTCTGCCATTTCTGGGAACATGTTAACTTTTGCAACTTGCACGGTGGAGGTTTCCACAATGGTGCCGAATCCGCCTCGGCCCAACAGCATACTGGGATCTTGCATTGACTGCGTCAGTTTGCTCGCCACGGTGTTGTAGCTGGCTCTATCGCAGACGGCGTCATCATCATCATCACCATCATCATCATCATCAAAGCCACAGAGGCCTCCGGTCAGCGTGATCCTAAAGTCATCTGTGACATACAATACACTGTTTACAGCGCAGTGAGTCCCAACGTTGATCAGCCCTCTCATGTTGATTATCCTGCGTGCGCGCGGCAGACAATGCTCAATAGTCCGTTGTGCAGTAAA